ATGTGCTCATTGCAGGGGCTCTTGACTGTGGGCATGGTTCAGCATGGATCTAGCCATTACAGTCTGGTCCTTGTCAATGTTGCTCAAATCAAACACTTACTCATTTTTTCTGCTTTCAACACATCAACTTCAGGGACAGCATGTTATTTGTTGCCTAATATATCGCACTGACCTTTAGTAATGAGATAATCATTGTAATGAGATAATTAGTGTTATTCACTTTAACTGTCAGTGGTCATAATGTTATGGCTGATTGGTATATATGAAACTTTTCTATAATTTACTGTTAAAAAATGAAGTTTCTCACCTGTCTGAAAATTAGAACTTTTTTTCACAAGAGAAAGAGGACATGTGAGTATAATTATAACAGATAAAATAAAAATGACAATAAAAACAAACTCTGACAATCAGCGCCACACTGGTTGCAAAAGAAAAGGCTGGTAAAATATAATTGGATAGTGTATATGGGGCTATGCATTATCTGTGGAATCCAGTAGGAAATACATATATATATTATATCAATGTCTGTAAGGAATTCCTGTGTGGGACACCACAATAGATAAAACTATATGTAAATGTATATTAAAAAAGTAAGAAATACATCAGACTAAAAAACACAATCCCAGTGGTATGAGTCTATAACTAATGAATCAATGACTTAATTGGCTGGCTGGGAAGGCTGCCTCTCCAAACAAGCTGGGAACCAGAATGCTGCAAAAGAGAGAGAGAAGGGGAGAAGAGAAGAGCCAAGCAGCCAATAGTGCAGTAAAGTTTTAGTCCCTGGTCACACTGGGTGCAACTTGGCAAATAGCATGGCAAGTCGCAGCCTATTGTCCGCAGTTAAAGCAGTCATATCAGTGCGGTTCTGTCTTGGTTGAAGCTTCACCGATTTCTAAAGTAGTGCATGCAGGGGCGGACTGACCATTCGAGCACTCGGGCACTGAACGAGGGCCCGGGGTCAGTAGGGGGCCCCATGAAATGCCCCTGGTACCTTTTTATAGGCTTTTTTGGGTGTGCTTTGAGTGTGGGCAAGGACACAGGGCCCCATGATCCCCTATTGCCCGGGTGCCCCATGAGTTGTCATTCGGCCCCTGAGTGCATGCACTACTTTTGGTGCGATTTGCATAGACGTCTGTGTCAGATGTCTTGCAAATCACACCTCAAATCGGCATGACATCCAACTTTGAAATCATGCGACTTCACTGTAAGTTGCACAATTTCAAAGTCAGAATCAGCGTGACTGGGGTGTTAACTTACCCTTCAGAAGATTTAGAGCTGATTCGCACATGTGTGGTGTGGATTGAAGCTCAGATTTCATAGCTAATTGATGTTATAGCTGTTCACCGGTTCATGTCAGGTTTACATCAGGTTCAGGACAGGATTAGCTCAGGATCTTATCTTGTTCACACATATGCGGTTTAGAAATGGTTCCCATAGAAGTCAATAGCCTGTAATCCTCATCTGAACCAGAGCACACTGCTCAGAAATCGTACATAACTCTTTTTAAAACCGCACTGAATCTGCACTGCCAGTGCACCAGCCATATGTGAACAGGCGCCATAGGAAGCAATGTTATTTCACATGTCATGCGGAATGGATGTGTTTTAAACCACATTCAATCTGCATATATGTGAACTGGCACTTACCAACTTTCCTGACCAGACCATTTTTTGCAAAACAGCGCTGCATTACTTTAATTGTCAATTGCGCGGTCATGCAATGCTGCACCCAAATAACATTTTTGACATTTTTTTTCCCACAAATAGAGCTTTTTTTTTGTGGTATTTGATCACCACTGCATTTATTTTTTTGCGCTATAAACCAAAAATTATAGACAATTTTGAAGGGTGAAAAAACGCCAATATTTTTTACTTTCTGCTATAAAACATATCCAATAAAAAAATTTTAAAAATCAAATTTCTTCATAAATTTAGGCCAATATGTTCATTAAGGATACTTGGTTGTCATCATCTAATTCTTAAAGTAGTTCTAAATCCTTATCAAGTGAATTGACTGGTCTCAAGTGATACACAGAGATTAAGCAAATCCTCCTACATAAGTTGTACCTCATTATCTACTTAAATCTTTCCCCTACATCTATTAAAAGTGCAGAATTTACACAGGATCTCACAGCTCTAAAAAGCAGGGAGTAGGGAGCTGAAGTTATATCAGTGAGGAGAACTCTGAGAACTGATTGAAGGGAAGAGATACAGCCCCCATCACACAGCACACAGGAAGAGAGCCTGACAACTCATGGGGCCCCCTGGGCAATAGGGGATCATGGGGCCCCTGTGTCCTTGCCGAAACTCAAAAAAGCCTATGAAAAAGGTACCAGGGGCATCTCATGGGGCCCCCTACTGACCCCGGGCCCTCGGGCAGTGCCCGAGTCTCCAAATGGTCAGTCTGCCCCTGCTCCCCTGTCACCTTTTTTCTCTTGGTGTCAGGAAAATTTGTCAGAAGTGACTCATGCTTATAGCAGAGGAACGAGACAGCAGATACAAATGACACATAGTACTCAGGAATGAGACAAGTGCACACTATGTAGGGATATGCTTTGTTCTGATAATAAAAGTATACTTGAAAAAATATTTTGTACCTACTTTTCAGTTCTGTCATTTATTTTTTTTTTTTAGTAATGTAATGAAACTATTACTATAGCAAAAAAATGGTAGTAAAAATCCAGTGTTTGTGGTGGGTAAAAATAGCGCCTGAAAATTAAAGGTCAGGAAGGGGGTAAAAAGTGTCCGGTCTTCGGAAGTGTTAAATAAAAGACTGTAATAAATAAAAACTTTTCACTGGCAGTAAGTAGTTAATATGGTGCACATGGCAAAATAAAAGTGATGCTGCTAAAACAAGTAAACACAGTGTTCATTGGTACGGATGAACACAGTTCATTGGTGGATATAACCTGCTTCCATGTCCCCTGCAGCCAAACAACAAAGTCATTTCAAGCTTATTTCTTCCCAGCTGAGTGTTTCTACCAGTCTCTGATCTGTGCTATATATTAATATCATAAAAAGAAAAAAGTTCATGTGACTGTGGGAATGCTTTAGATGATACACAGGGTTTCCAACAAATTTCCATTTTAAAGCAAAAAGCACCTTTTCCACTATACCTTTTTTTTTTGTGGTCTTAGAAATGTCTTAGGAAAATGTGAGTAACAAACATTTAGGAGGGCAGTCATGTTAGTAAAAAGCAAGGAAGAAGGTGAGTCTATGACACTGAGGCGTTGGAAACCATGATCATCAGAGTCACCAGAGTAGAGGAATCTGGGGTCTCTGGCTAACCTTGTAGACCCTTTCCTAGACCGGCAGCTTAGAATCAGGCAGAAGAGTGTGATAGGACAGTATTTTGGAGACTGATCACTGTCCAAAGAACGTCTGCAAAACTTTGGTGTCGAGAGGAGTCTTTACTCATCTGTTTATGGAACCATGCTATTGCTAGTAGAGCTCTGCCCAAGACACTTTCAGAGAATCCCATGCTGAGGTTTGTATGTCTGTGAGACTCACCTGTGGCACAGTGATTAAAGTGTATTTTGTGGATACAAGGAGTGTGCCATTTGCTACTGTTGTACACCGAGAGTAAGCTCTCCTACTGTTTGCACAATTTTTCCACGCCCACAATTTGCGATGGCGTATTCTTCTCTGGGTTTCCAAGACTGAATCCTCTTCCCTCAGCTCACGTTTACCTATGATACATAAAACTAGGCCCCACAATGCTGGAAAAATACATAGTCATCCTTGACTGTGCTGAATGTGTAAATGTGTCCAGATTTAGAATAAGATAAGTTAGGGTAAAGTCTGAAAGTAAAAGAGATTGGAGTGAGACAGAGTTGGACTTGTGCAGCATTAGGGTGCCCACAACTGCACTACCACATTTTCAAGATGTGACATACTGTATATTACATAGCATGACAGTGATAGAGCTTTTGTTCACAGGTCCATCCTCCTATTGACAAAATGGGTATGGCAACCAACATCAGTAGGCCAAATTATACCTTACATTGACAGCAGTTGGTAAGCAATGCGACACCTCTAGTGATGGGATAAATATTCTAATCACTAGTGTTTGACCATCATATTTATGACACAGAGTGGTAAATGTTTTGGTTTTAGTCTTCCTAAGAGCAGGTAACAGAGCCACTAACTGTTTTGTACAGTAAAGCCTTGCCGGAGTGGAGTACCCATAAATGTGGGCTTAAGGAGGAGTGTTTTTATTTTTATCCCTTTAGTTATTATCAAAGGTCCAGAAAAATAGTTACATCATTTGAACTTATAGTAATACAGTTAAACTGCCTTTAAAGAAACATATTTGCTATGCTAGTACCCAAGAAAACATGGCAAAGTATGCTCTTCTTGCGAATTGTGTAGTTGATTTAGTGAAAGCAAATAGACTGTGTACTCTGCGAGTGCAGTTACTACAGAGGTTAGTAAATGAGGTAAAGCTTTACTTTGCAAAGAATGCCCAATCGCTTGCAAGAAAGATTTACAATAAAGCATTTTTCCTTGCACATGGTTGGATGGTGGAAGTCAGCAGAGCTTCTGGTCATTTACTAAGTTCTGGAGTAACTGCTCTTCCAGAGTGCGACTGTCTATTTCCCTTTAGTAAATCAACCCCTATATTTATTTCCAGTTCCAAGTACATATAACTCCTATGTACCCCCTTCCCATTTTCCTCTGTCACTACCTTGTCTCTAGTCCTTCTCTATCTCCTTTGACCACCATGCTCCGTACACCCAATATTTTTCTCAGCTGTCACTGCTTTAGCCATCTGAGTGGCTTACATTACCCTTTTCCTCAAGGGACTTTGTTAGAATTCCAGAAGAATAGGGGGCAACCTGAGATACAATTGATGGTAATAAATTGAGAACATTGGGAATGTGGCCCAAATTTGGGAAATGTTTAACCACCTCCCGCCCGCCATATAGTAATATGACGGACGCAAGGTGGTTCTCTCGTTCCGGTAGGACGTCATGACGTCCTCCCATTCTAATCGCACATGAGCAGCTCAGGGAGCACGCAGCGCAGCGATCGGCAGTATCACCGATCACAGAAAGAGCCAAAGATTTCGGCTTGGTCATGTGATCAGCTGTGTCCAATCACAGCTGATCACATGTAAACAGGGAAATGCCGGTTATCGGCATTTCTCTCCTCTCAAGCTGTCACGCTGACAGCTCGAGAGGAGAGGAGAGCCAGTAATCGGCTTTCCGCGGAGGGGACATGTACACTGATCATCAGGGCACTGATGATCAGTGTGCCCTGATGATCAGTGTAGCCCCAGCAGCGCCACCTGTCAGTGTCCATCAGTGCCTTGTGTCAGTGCTCATCAGTGCCTCGTGCCAGTGCCCATCAGTGCCACATCAATGCCACATATCAATGCCTACCAGTGCCCATCAATGCCAAATATCAGTGTCCATCTGAGCTGCCTTTCAGTTTCACCTATCAGTGCCAGTCAGTGCCACCTATCAATGCCAATCAGTGCCACCTATCAGTGCTGCCAGTCAGTGCCGCCTATCAGTGCCAGTCAGTGCCACCTATCAGTGCCAGTCAGTGCTGCCCATCAGTGCTGCCTTTCAGTGCCCATCAGTGATGCCTGTCAATGCCCATCAGTGCCACCTACCAGTGCCTCCTCATCAGTGCCCATCAGTGCCACCTATCAGTGTCCATCAGTGCAGCCTCATTAGTGCATATCAGTGAAGGAGAAAAATCACTTTACAAAATTTTATAACAAAAACTAAGAAAAAACTTTTTCTTTTTCAAAAATTTCAGTGGTTTTTGGTTTGTTTAAGAAAAAATAAAAAACCCAGAGCTGATTAAATACCACAAAAATAAAGCTCTGTCACAAAAAAATGATAAAAAAGTCATATGGGTACAATGTTGCATGACCATGCAATTGCCATTCAAAGTGTGACAGTGCTGAAAGCTAGAAATTGGTCTGGGCAGGAAGGGGGTATAAGTGCCCTGTAGGCTATTGGTTAAAGTGAAGTACAGTATGCTAAGAATAGATCATTCATTAACTGCATGCTATAGGAGTTGTATTTACACTATAGACTTGTTATTCCCATGGAATGAACCCCTGATGATGTCCTCAAAATGGTAGAGAAAGGATGCCATATTGGTAAAATATTCAATACAGGCTGCAATAATGTGTCTAAATATTACAGTATAACCCTCACATTTTGTTTCAATTTAAAGCAGACCAATAAGTAAGTTTAAAAGCCAGTCTGAACACATTTTTAATAAGATCAAATGAAAATGGCTTATGTAGCAATTATGCATGTTGTAAAACTTCTTTGTGAACGTGGAGTCTTCTTTTAAAGCTGTTTGTTTTATAATTGAAAGGTACATTTAAAAATAAAATCAGCATACATTGAAATCAGCCTATTTACTATTTACAACTATTTACAGCTGTCCTATCAGCTTTTTACTTCCTTCAGATATCAAAGTTACATTGCTTTGTCACCTATTTGCTAACTACAGTAACCAGTCTTTCCTTGAACATGGAAAACAAAGTTGTGTAGAAAGTCACTGACATCTCAGCCATGAATCCTAGCTTTAGATGACTAAATTTGTCTACAGAGCAATCCAAAACAACAGTAGGTTGATTGCCCCAGAATGACTTGCTGCTGAGATATCAAACAAATTGCTAGTCCCCAGTAGAGAGAGTTGGTTACCACTAGTGGGAAATTTCCCACATACCAACATACAGGCCAGACGTCATAAAGAAAAGAGCATTTGAAGCAACAGAGTTCTCAATGTCTCTGTTATAGCTTAGTTTTTGTAATTAGTGCTTTGATTGCTTTGGTTGTATTCACCAAATCACATTATTATTTATTTACAGCTATATCTGAACACTTATTTTTATAACAGCAATATCGGAACACTTTAGAGCTTTCTAAAATAAGACAGACATAAAACTTGTTCTTGGCTCACACCTGGCCATCTTTCCTATCATGTCAGACAACCAGTGTGAGACAGTCAATACATGCTGAGCCATAGACATGTTTTCATGCATTTTTAGACACCTACTCAATACTCAATGATATTTGGAATAAAAAAAAAAACATTAACTATATCAAAAGCCTGCTATAAAAGGTACATAATTCTAGAACCCACAGAGACTTAAAAAGCAGAATAATTCATAGATAAAAAAAACTGAACTATGCATTTGCTTGGCCAAATTTTCTATGTCTTTTAAAATTAAACAGACCCTTAAAAAAAAACAAAAAACAAACCTTAAACAGTATAATAGCAACACAGGTTATACTTTTATTGTACATATCTTATTGATACATTAGCTTGATAATGGTAGCCCAGTGCTGATAGCTTGCAGTTTAGAAACATTCAGAGTGATATGATACTAAAAGCTTCCCTTTCATGCTAACTCTCCCTGTAGTCCTAATACTAACCCTAACACTAACCATCCCTGTAAAAATAATGGTAATCTTAACACTAAATTTAGGTATCCCTATAACTAACCCTCATATTAACCCTTCCTGAATCTCTAACACTAGCTCTCACATTAATCCTCTCTGTAACCCTAACACTAAAGCCTTAGTAATCTTTCTTGCATCCTTAATACTAACCCTTGTGCTAAGACTAACTTTCACCCTAACTATTTCAATATGTCTAACACTAACCCTTCATGCAAAGCCCCATGCACACTGGATGTTCAGCTCCACCATTAAATCACAGGCAGAGGCATCAAATGTGCCATCCAGACCTGCTGCCGGCATTCAGTTAAACTCTATGAGTGTCTGAAGGCTTCTGCAGCTGGATAGGGCTGGATGGTGCAAATAGTATTTTCTATTAGTATTTTCAGTGCCTGAATTTTCAAAAGTGATGGAAGCTTACATACAGGTGAAAATCGAAAAATTTGAATATCGTGCAAAAGTTCATTTATTTCAGTAATGCAACTTAAAAGGTGAACCTAATATATGAGATAGACTCATTACATGCAAAGCAAGAGAGTTCAAGCTGTGATTTGTCATAATTGTGATGATTATGGCTTACAGCTCATGAAAACCCCAAATCCACAATCTCAGAAAATTAGAATATTACATGCAATCAATAAAACAAGGATTGTACATAGAACAATATTGGAACTCTGAAAAGTATAAGCATGCATATGTACTAAGTACTTGGTTTGGGCCCCTTTTGCAGCAATTACTACCTCAATGCGGCGTGGCATGGAAGCTATCAGCCTGTGGCACTGATGAGGTGTTATAGAAGACCTAGGATGCTCAATAGCGGCCTTCAGCTCTTTTGCATTGTTTGTCTCATATCTCTCATCTTTCTCTTGGCAATGCCCCATGGATTCTCTGTGGGGTTCAGGTCAGGCGAGTTTGCTGGCCAATCAAGCACAGTAATCCCACGGTCATTGAACCAGGTTTTGGTGCTTTTGGCAGTGTGGGCAGGTGCCAATTCCTGCTGGAAAATGAAGTCAGCATCCCCATAAAGCTCATCTGTGGAAGGAAGCATGAAGTGCTCCAAAATCTCCTGGTAGACAGCTGCATTGACCCTGGACTTAATGAAGCACAGTGGACCAACACCAGCAGATGACATGGCTCCCCAAATCAATACAGACTGTGTAAACTTCACACTGGACTTCAAGCATCTTTCAAGGTGTGACTCTCCATTCTTCCTCCATACTCTGGGTTCTTGGTTTCCAAATGAGATGCAAAAGTTGCTCTCATCAGAAAAGAGGACTTTGGACCACTGAGCAACAGACCAGGTCTGTTTTTCTTTAGCCCAGGTAAGACGCTTCTGATGTTGTTTGTTGTTCAGGAGCAGCTTGACAAGAGGAATACGACATTTGAAGCTCATGTTCAGGATCCGTCTGTGTGTGGTGGCTCTTGATGCACTGACTCCAGCCTCAATCCACTCCTTGTGAAAGTCCCCAACACTTTTGAATGGCCTTTTCCTGACAATCCTCTCCAGGCTGCGGTCATCCTTGCTGCTTGTGCACCTTTTTCTTCCACACTTTTCCCTTCCACATAACTTTCTATTAATGTGCTTTGATACAGCACTTTGGGAACATCCAACTTTTTTGCAATTACCTTTTGAGGTTTTCTGCACAACTGTCAGGTCAGCAATCTTTCCCATGATTGTGATTCCTACTGAACCAGACTGAGAGACCATTTAAAGGCTCAGGAACCCTTTGCAGGTGTTATGGCTTAATTAGCTGATTAGAGTGGGACACTTTGAGCCTAGAATATTGCACCTTTTCACAATATTCTAATTTTCTGAGATTGTGGATTTGGGGTTTTCATGAGCTGTAAGCCATAATCATCACAATTATGACAAATCACTGCTTGAACTATCTTGCTTTCCATGTAATGAGTCTATCTCATATATTAGATTCACCTTTTAAGTTGCATTACTGAAATTAATTAACTTTTGCACGATATTCTAATTTTTCGAGTTTCACATGTATATGTTTCAGAAGAGTAATCAATAGCCACATTTCAAAATAGCAAAAATATAAAATTCTTCATCAGTTCCTGCTGTCTAAGATATAGCAGTAACCTGTCAAGCTACGAATCGCTGCAAGCCACTCTTTAAAATAAAACAGACTAGAAAGGTCTAGAATACAGTATCCAAAACTAACTTTTATTTCTTTTTTTTAAGTTTTGGATGGAGTAGAGATGGAAAAACCCCTCATGTTCTGGTAATAACTGTGTAAAATGATACTTTCCCTCAACCGTGTTACTGAAATTGCAAGTGATAAATTGGTAATAGTACAGTTAGGTCTCTGAACAGATGGAACAAACTGATTCCTGTTGTGTACATAATAGCATGTAGTAGCAATTATTATCACATAATGCTGAACCTACATTGAACATATAAACTTTTTTGCAATCTGGAGACCCTCACTAATTTCAGACAGCCCAGCACAATTGGGCACAATTTATCCCATCCTTGGATGATGACCACTGTGAGGATACGTAGTTGATTTGGTGGAAGGACACTTTTTGTATTGCCAACAAGCTTGTTTATTTTAAATCCATACACCAATCAGATTACACCCTGGAGAGGCTACAAAAATGGTCTTAACAGCTGATGCTGCATGTAAAAGACATTTTGTTAATCAGTTTCAGCTGCTTTATTGTTAATGAAATTAACACCAGGTACACTAGATGGGCAACAATGAGATGACCCCCAAAACAGGAATGGTGGAGGCCACTGACATTTTTCCCTACTCATCTTTTCTGACTGTTTTTTACTAGTTTTGCATTTGGCTAGGGTCAGTGTCACTACTGGTAGCATTGGGGCGATACATGGACCCTACAGATGTTGCACAGGCAGTCCAACTCCCACAGCATGGCATATCAATAACTGCCATTGCCGAAAGGTTTGCTGTGTCTCCCAGCACAGCCTCAAGAGCATGGAGGAGAATCCAGAAGACAGGCAGTTACTCTAGGAGAGCTGGATGGGGCCGTAGAAGGTCCTTAACCCATCTGTAGGACCGGTAACTGCTCCTTTGTGCAAGGGGGAACAAGATGAGCAGCCAGAGCCCT